ACATGAAACGAGAATATCATTTAATGATAAAAAAAATATTGAGTATCTTTTAATCGTGATTAGACATTTATCATTTGAAATATTTGTCTAGGGTTATTTTCGGAGTAAATATATATGAAGCACGGCAGCATTCTCACTAAGGACCACATTCGCGTGATAAATGATCGAGATTATCTAAATATCTCAGATGAACAGATCATGACCATATCATGTCAGTGTGCTTCATATTGAGGTGACATGCTCTATGCATTTTCTTGTTACTTTTGTGATTTTAACATTCTTTCCATTATTTCCGGGTTTAATGCCCATAATTTTCGGAGCTTTATTTCTACTTTAATGTAATTTTCTTCCCTTCAACGGTTTCACGGCTCTACTACAATAGTTGTGTGCTTGGTTTCTTTCCTCGTTATTTTCACATAGCTTTTACCTTTGTTTCTTTATTGATCTATCATTGCATTTTATGATTTCTCACTTTGGAGAGCCTCACCTATGACATCTACTGCGGGTATTCCCACTTATAAGTCTTATGAGATCTAATCAGCTCAATTTTATCAAATGTATAACTTTTACTTTCACGCACTGAATTACGTAATAATCAAAATAAATAAGAATGAAAATATTTATATGGTTGAATTGACTGAAGTTTATGAAGACGACTACTTAGCTACTATTTCAATTATTATTAATAAGATACATTTAAATAAATATATATTTTTCAAAAATAAGCAGACTCAAGTAATTCACTCGCTTCAATCAAAATTTTACTAGTTTCAACATATTCAATCAATTGAGTCTTACTAAATGGGATTAGATCAGAGAACCTCATTTTCTTATTACGGAAAAAATAAAGTGTTTATTTAAATGCACAAGTTTACTATGTTAAATCCACTTTTCACGTTTGCCAACGCACAAGTTTGACCATTAATATCTTTCCTTGCTTATTAGCAAACAATTTAAAAAATTAGATTTTGAAAACTTGAAATGAGAAGAATTTAAAGATTTTTTTTAAATTTAATTTATAATACATTAATAAATAAAATAGAGTCAAAGCAGAACACATGAATAGTTGAAAAAGTCTAATGTTGCATTTAAAAGAGAACGGAGAGAGTATATGATTAGAACAAAAAATGGTGGACAAAATTTTGACATTATACATATACATATGTGTGTAGCGACTATATTAATAAATTATAACGCTATGAATATATGTTATTACATTATAATGTCAAATTTTTTATTGTGTCGCTATGTGTCTGGTTTCTTTATTTTTTACAAAATCATCATAGTCACTATACACATATATTATTTTTGTGTTATAATTTATTAATTACATATGTCAAATTTTTTATTGTGTCGCTATGTGTCTGGAGTATTGTGTCTGGTTTCTTTATTTTTTATCGCTTTTGTTGTTAAAAAATGGTAATAACGTTTTTATTTTTGATCCGATTTTTATAAAATTTATGTCAACATTTTTTATTTTTCATGATCTTTCAAATGAGACCAATATTGCTTATGTAATTTTAAGAAATTATCGAACTATTATATTAATGATTATTATAAGGAAAATCGAACTAAATTTAATACAGAAAAATAATTGTGTAAGTGAGATTACTTCTCACTTCTCATCTTAAGAATGACTTCTCACCTGATCTTCTCTCTCTCTCTCTCTCTCTCTCTCTCTCTCTCTCTATATATATATATATATATATATATATATATATATATATATATATATATATATATATATATATATATATATATACACACTTTTTTGTTTTTATCTTCGTCTTTAGCATGTATCATTTTAAATTTTACACATTTCATGCATTCATTATGATAAAGTTAGCTAATACCACACATATTTGTATTTGTTGTTTTTCTACTTTACATTTATGAAAAGATCTTTGACTATAACAATAGCGAATTGGATTTATATCTATTACATGATTCATTTGAAATAAAATTCTGAATATTACAACATTTGTACCACCGACTCCTTTAGTTTTCTTTAAATGCTAATAATCTATAAATTTATTTATTTTTGAGAAGTGAATCGTTTTTCTACGTCCAAAAAGGTTGAATCCCCAACCCAAGGCCCCCCCCCCCCACCCCGACCCGACAGGAATGAATCGTTTTTCTAGTGATCGAAATAATGTTAGAAGTTTTAATTTATAATATTTTATTATTTCTTTGTCAATCTTTTATTTCCTTTAACATTTTATTTAAATGATAAATAAAAGCAGATGAGATGGAGTACTAATTTCATTTTCTAATTCTAAAATATAGAACTTGAAATCTAATCATATCGAACTAAATTGAACTTCAAACCGAACCGAACCAAAATCGAACTAAAACTAAACCAAAACACAAATGGTTTTAGTTTGGTACAAATTCCCCCAAACCGAATAAATCAAAACCGAAGAATATCGAACCGTAATCCGAAGTGCTCACTCCTACCTACAACTTATTCCGGTTAACCCTTTCTATTGCACGATTCGAGACATAGAGAGTATTACTCATAAGTCATATCCTTCTAAATATGAAACTTTTATCAGTAATTGTTCTAGATAAGACTAAAACTTATCTAAAATGCACAAATAGGACTACTACATTTTTAACCATCCCAAATAGGACTAAACAATTGATTCCTATCAAAAATTCCCCTAAGGGTATTATTTCATCATCAAATGTTATAATTCATAATAAAATTTTAAAAAATAAAAAAACTCGTAAAAAATATATTAAAAAATCGTAAATGATTAATAAAAAAAATATTTTTAAAATAAAAAATTTAATTTTTTTTATTTTTTTAACAAAATAATAAAAAATAGTACAAACCCATAAAAAATAAAAAAATATGTATACATTTCCCACCGCCTCCCAGCACCATCACCTCCGATCGGTAAATACTATGCCATTTTTAATTAAAAAAAACCATTTTTCCCGCAAATGCCAAGAAAATGACCATTAGTACTCTTCATAATGCCAAAATTCTCATTTAATCTGCAATTAGTATGGCATTACTAAAAGTGTTGGCAGATTTTTTTTATTTCTTTTTAAAACAAATTAATAAAAAATAGTAAAAACCCATAAAAATGGATACCTCTTGTCGGTGAAAATTCTGTCATTTTTGTAAAAAATGCCATTATTTTCTAAAAATGCCAAGAAAATGGCATTATTATTCATCATAATGCCAAAATTCTCATTGAATATGTCATTATTATGGCATTACTTAAATGTTGGGAGATTTCCAACCGATGATGGGAGCTGGTGGTGCTGGAGTGGCAGAGGCAGCATCGTTGTTGTTTTTATTTTTAAATTTTTATTTTTTTAAATGTTTTTTTATTTTTTTATAAAATTTAAATTTATTTTTTATTTTATAAATATTTTATAAATTTTTTTAATATATTTTGACTTTCCTTAAAATGTATTTGCTACTTCTCACGGTGCTAGGAGCGTTACAGCGATAATTTCCGATGATACGGTGGCTACGAACAACCGTCTCAAGACACAATTAGGGATGGACTCGGGTCCGGGTCGGACCTAGGCCCGGGCGGGCCGGCGGGTCAGAAATGGTGGACCCGGGACCGGCCCTGGTAACCACCAGGTCCGGGCCGGGCCGGGTCGGGTCAATTATATTTTTTTTTTTGTTTTCCTCTTCCTAATTAACCCCCCTCCCACCCCCAACCCCCCAAACCACCCCAAATGGCCCAAAATACCCAGCCCAACCCGAAAATTTAAAAACAAATTGAAAAAAAAAAATAGTTTTTGGCCCGAACCGGGCCCGGGCCCGGCCGGGTCGGGCCTTGTTTTGGGTGACCCGAGCCCGGACCGGAAAACCCACGGGCCGGGCCTACCCGGACCGGTCACTGACCGGGCCACCGGGTCAGGCCAGGCCGGAACAGTACCGGTCCCGGGCCGGTTCCGGGTAGGGGTGGACTCGGGCCGGGCCAACCGGCCCGGAACCGGACCGGCCCGCCACTATGCGGGCCCGGACCGGCCCGGGAACCGATTCGTTGGACGGTTCGGGCCACCCGGCCCGGTGGATTCTCGGTTCGGTCTCGGGTCCTTCAAAAGGTGAACCGGCCCGGCCGGTTCGGGCCCGGGCCGGGCCAATTTTAATTTTTTTTTTGAATTTGTTTTGAGTTTTTGGGTTGGGCTGGTTATTTTGGGCCATTTGAGGTGGTTAGGGTTGGTTTGGAGGTGAGGGGGAGGGGTGGGGGTTAACTAGGAAAAGCCCCCAAAAAAAAATACCTGAGGCCCGGCCCGGCCCGGACCCGGGGTTTACCCGGGCCGGTTCCGGGCCTCCCCATCTTGAACCGAGGCCCGGCCGGGCCCGAACCGGCCCGAGTCCACTCCTAGTTCCGGGTCGGGCCACCCAGCCCGAGTCCATCCCTAGACACAATCGATTGTTCCGGCAAACGTAAATAAAGTATGAACAACTGAGAGTTTTCAGAAAGTTGAAGGTTTTTTTAGCTGAGAAACTACGTGAAGACTGTAAAATTCATGTGTTGTTGCAAATAGGATTTGCATCAACTTGAAACCATCGTAAGAAAAATATTTGCTTGGGGATTTCACAAGGATACAGCGGCACCAATAGGCATATTAAGGCCCATCTAGGAGTGGACTCGGGCCGGGCCAACCGGCCCGGAACAGGACCGGACCGCTACTGTGCGGGCCCAGACCGGCCCGGTGAACCGGTTGGTGCCCGGTTCGGCCCACCCGGCCCGGTGAGGTAGGCGGGCAAGGCCCGGGCCTCCTAAATCATGAACCAGCACGACCGGTTCGAGCCCAGTCCGGGTCAAATTATTTTTTTTTCTTTTTTTTTTTTTTTGAATTTTTTTAAGTTTTTGGGTTGGGCTGGGTATGATGGGTCATTTGAGGTGGTTTGGGGGTGAGGGGGGAGGGTTGGAGGTTAATTAGGAAAAGCCAAAAAACAAATACAAGAACCGAGGCCCGGCCCAGCCCGGACCGGAACCAAGTCATATCAGTGTCCACTCCTGGGTTAACAGGACACAAAATCATTTGCCAATTTCAAAGAACAAACATATTCTCTACTTTATACGGAGTAGGATGCAAAATTGGGAGAGGCCAGTAGGACAATAAATCTTAACCCCCTCCCCTGTCATCAAAGCCGTTACAGTTGACAGAATAAAAACTTTTTATCAACAGCAAAAGCAATAGTTTACCAAAAATATTCTCCCCGGTTTGGTTTAGACTTTTAGCTAGGCTTAAAAACCTTGCTCAGTGATGCCTTTCACTGTTCCTCTCCAACAAGGCTATTTTCAGTGTTTCCATTGAGGAGCTCCTCTACCTCCTCTTGGATCTCCACATCAACTACTACTTTAAGGTGTGGGGTAGAAAGGTCCCCATCGTTCAATGCCACGAGCCCACCACTGTATTTTTCAGATGGCGGCAATGTATCTTCCTTTAGAGCACTATCCGTGGCTGGAGTTGTTGATACTACCAGTGGTTGGTTTGGTGAATTTCCTGAGCTTGGAGGAAGGAAAACACCAGTACCGGGGACTGGCAAACGTGGCGGTGGAGGATTTGTTGGAGGTGTGGCAGTCCAGCCAGCAGAGGCTACCGGTGGGGCGGGAAAAGGCAGCTGTGGTGGTGGGACAGGGGTAGAAACGAACATCGGCTGGATCCCATTGGAAGGTAGTAGTTGCGGGCAACCAGCCGGTCCCGGTGGCAGTATGACACATGATGTTGACACTACTGGACTATTATAATGCTTCGGAGCTGAAGGGCGAATAATGTGATTTGGTGACTTGCTAGGTGGGTGGTACTGTGTATGTGGGGAAAGTGGTCCTGTGTATGTTGGGCCACGAGGACTATTTCCAGATGCTGTAGTTTTATCAAGCTGAGACTTTGTTAAAGTAAGGATGATTCGCTGTTTCTGGAGAGATGGGATTGCATGTTTTGCAAAATCAGCTGACTTCCCTTGCATGACTAGCATGGACCTACACAGAAAGAAACCATGCAATCCTTAGTTCAGTCAGTTCACTTGCATGAAATATAAACCCCATTCGGTGATATTTATTTTTTTGGGCCTGTTTAAGGCTGCATTGGTAAATGATAATGATGTTAATAATTAAGCAATTGTAATTTCCTTGGCTAAATTGGCTAAAAAGAAAATTGACCGCCTCTCACCCCAAAATTTAATGTTTTCCCACTTTTTGCACATATGTAGATTCCTTGCAATTTTAAGTCCGGCAAGGCAGCAAGAAATCTAAAATATATAAGTACAGTTTCTGGGTGATTATTACAGCCATTTTTAGATTCCTTCCAACCCTAACGGGCTCAATTTATGTACAACTTTCGGCTGATTTTCACCAGATGAATGGATGGAAAAGACCAAAAATGGATGATACTTGTAGTCGTGCACAGAAAATGGACAACGTATAAGCTTGGGACAAAAACAACATAAATCAGAATGAAAATACTCATGAGACCAAAACTAGACACCTTTTAAGGCTAAAATGTAGATACATGACACCACCAACATCAAATATCAGTACTATTACCAGGTTTCAAATATTAACTCTTAAATAACTCGGACAGATTTGCTCATATAGCTACAACTTCAGCGGATTTTCAGCCCAACTTGGCAAATTTACCCACACCAAACAGCCTTTAAACTTCTAAGCACCCCTTTTTATAGGGGTGTGGCTGAAATGGCAGAATATTTGGATAGAAAACTGTTGACACTGGCATTTCAGAAAAATAAGTGATTTAAGAGCGACAAGCAATGGAGTCAAAAGATAGAACTGCCCTACCCTGGTGCAAGAGAAAGGCGGAGAGAGCCCCGATATTCCCCGCGATTGTGTGAATCAATCATTTTTCCATATGTAATATCACATTCTGTCAAAAAGAGCACACTTAATGGGCGTCCAAACCAAACAGGCCACATATTTGGCTGTGAGTAATCTCCCTACAGAAAACGGCAAAACAGTAGTTCACTGTTTTTAGCATATGAAGCAAAACCAATAGAACCGGGAGATATAATATACAGTTAGTACCTGTTTAGTATTTTGATTATGGGTCAATTCCAGATTACGTACTCAGCTTTTAATTTCACCATGTTTCTGCCTTCACTTTTAGTTATTTCTAAATTACGTCTTATGTGAACTAATCTGTATTAATTTTCAAGAACCGGGGTAAAAAAGGAAACACATTAAATAACAGATGAACATGTAGCACGATAAGACAGATGATAATTTCCATTATTGCCCCTAGATCTTGAAAGAGAGCAGTAATTTGTTCAAAGAGGATTACATCTGAAAAGAGCGTGAAAGTCCAGGAAGAAATGTGGTCAAATTGAAAATTATGGACTATATCTAGAATTGACAGAATAATAGAGGACAGAATCTTGAGTTTATTAAGAATTTAATCATCACTCGTAACCTCATTGAAGATATCAATCATGCATGAATCAGGCTTGACGGGGATCACTTGCTTAGAAGCCAATGAATCAATAACTTCTTGCAGTAAGACAGGAATGGTATCTACTTTCCTCTCTGCAAATACAATTAAATTGGAACCCAAATGATAAGAAAATCAGTCATAAAGTACTCAAAAAAGTTATAACAAAGGGAAGGATGTGTGAAAGGTATCATACAAGTGCCCTTCAATAACAATTATAGTGCTATCAATTATAGTCTTGCCTTTGGATATTCCAGCAGCAGCTTCATTTTCAGTAACATCTGTAAGGGGAATACCCAATTGAATCATCTCTCTCCCATGCCCCTTCGTAGGTCTCTTTGAGACTACAAATGTTTGCCCTGCTTATCACACAAAAATACACTTCATTTTCAGGGTGCTATTTTAAGGGTTTCAGTTAATCTTCAGAACACAAAACACATGCTTTATCTCACCGTTCCAAGAAACAAGATGTGGGTGCTATTATGTGCCTGTTTGAAACGTAGTATAATTTATCACATGCTATCATAATTTATAGCATGTGCTTACTGTTCTCTCACTAAGCACTTATTATAATGCTTTTTTTAAAAATCACCAATCTGTTTATTTCTTAAATAGTAATCAGAGGTGATATTTACTTATTTCTTAAAAATCATCTCCGTCCAATTTTATGTGTCCTACTTTGGTTTGGCACGATTATTAATAAAGTGGTTGAAAAAGTAAATGTTGTGGTTGAGATTAGAGTATAATAAAGTGAAATGCTATAAACCACATATTTCTTTCCAAAAAAGGAAATGTGACATTTATTTTGAGACAACCCAAAAAGGAAAGTCAGACGGGTAAAATCGGACGGAGGGAGTATTTTTTATATCTTAAGGTGATACTACCTCCGTCCCCCTAAATTTGGGACAAGAGAAGGTGGCACGGTTATTAATAAAAGTGAGTTTATGTGGTTGATATTGAATTGATAAAGTAAGAATAAAGTAGGAATGATTTGGAACCACACAAACTTTACCAAATAAGGTATGGGAAAATCTTAGTGGGACGGACCGAAAAGGTAAAATGGGACAATCATAGCGGGACAGAGAGAGTACTTACTAGTTACTACGTAGTATTAAAAACACTTTTCCACTTTCTGCTTTTAGAAGAATAAGTACTCTTCCTCTAAAAATCAGTTATTTATGAAGAATAACTCATCCAAAATCGCACAAATAAAAAAAAGTGTTTTAGCCCTATTATTTAAAATCCAAAATAGAGATCAGTGGTTCTAATCACCGAATATCTCGAAAGTGACATAGAGTCACTAACTTACACTAACCAGTACTAATTTACAGAAAAAATATCTTTTCAATCCGCCATTTCTCTATCAGTTACAGATAGGTTTGGACTTCGGAAGGAAAAGCACCTTGCATTTCTGAAAACCATGTCAATCTCGGACAAATACTGTTTCCTATCGAGAGTAAGAGTGCTGAATACTACGAGATAAATAATGAGGCATTAGGAGTTACTACAGCACACACAACTGAATACTACACATTATTATTAACCTTTTACTAGCGATATTGAAGGAAGAATATGAAAGAGGAACTGTTTTTTAGTTATACGGAGACATGAGAATGAGCCACAGATATATCGTTAATAGTAGACAAGAGTTTTCACACTGCTCACTTGATAATCAATGAGAGCCAACAAAGAGACAGCACCACCACATTGTACAATTAAACTGATAGGCAAACATTATACCAGAATTTATATAATCAATAAATTGAGCAAAACGGCAACAGCCCAACTTGTTACCTTGAAGCTGACCACTTTTCCCAGCAACTCTCAACTCATTTACCATAGACAAAAGTTCTGATACTTCTGAATCACTAAGTAGTTCTTCATATAATTTCAGTCCATCAACTACATTAACCTACACACAATGGAAACAGGTAGTGCATGTTAGTCCAACAAAAATAGACTTCCCATTATGATTCTTCAATAAGTAATGAAGGCCAAAAATAGATTCCAATACAGAAGGATTCACAGTAAAGCGGATTAGACATTACCATTTTCCCATCACAAAACTCTTTACCAACAAAAGTTTTTGGAGTGATTGTATGGTTCTGCTTCCCATGTGGTACTTGTGTGGATTTACATTCATTCTCCACACCACAAGACCCTTAAGAAGCAAATAAATTAGTTTCAGATGAAACACATGGATCTAATTGCACTATTATCAATGCAAGTACTATGTTTAGGGTGTAGGAGACATATAAAGAAGTTTCTCCAAACTGAAGCATAATACCGCCATGAATACAGGAACTCTATCACTATCCAAAGGTTTAGTAAAATAGTATCTGAAAAATGAAATACTCTTGCTACAAGCCAAATGAGCAACCCCCTAAAGTGCAAGGATATATATAACTTCTTATATACTAGTATCTGTTTGTGTTTTAGAAATGCATGGGTAAGACAAAAACTTATTAGGACAAGAGGAGGGTTGTACCATCAGATTTTGCAGTACATTTATCGCCTTTATTAGCCTCACTTTGCAAGTCATCAGATTGACTATTCCCCAAACTCATCGTCAAAATATTTGACTCGGATCTTTCAGAATATTCTGTGCATGCAGGTATCATCGCGAATTAACATCCTTTCAGTTTGACATATGTCAGAAGAGCCAGGTGATTTTCTAAAAACTCATGCAATTAAAGCACAATTCTGTAATTAGAAAAACTAACATAATCTATGCTTTTTATCTTTAAAAATACATTGAGGCACAACACATTTACAAATGAACTTCCGCAATGAAGCCCAAATCTTGTGTTTCCAAATCAGTTCAGAACAAAGTTCAGAACATGTTCAAATATGATCTTTATGCACGTTAGATTTTATAATCAAAGAAACGCTTATGGAATGTTCAAAAGTTTGGAGTTTGGACAGATTGAGTTATATAACTAGGGGTTTTCATGAAGAACTGGGAGTGTAAATATTACCAAATAGGCTACTTGAAGTTGGCATTTCTGTGGGAAAGTAAATGAATAACTTCTACTTAAAATGGAAAAATTCTACACAGTTACTGTTCGTGAGGCATGCCACAATATGTACATTTAAGTTTGTAACTTTGTTTCCAAATCTCATAGTTTGAACTTTGAACCACTACAAGTAGTAATGATCTCTATAGAGAAATGAGTCAATGATGAGAATGGCAAGTCCCTAGTGTACCCCAACATTTCTATTTATATAGAGATCTTTATAATGCATGAACTAATCGAACATAGCATTTTCCCTGTTAGGTTGTTACCATTGAGTAATGTCACCGGGTGCCAAACTATACATTTCCAAGCCTATTTTTTGTAAAATATTATGTGACCTAGTCCCACTATACCAAATAGCCATTACTATTATATTTATGGCAATTCATATCATTGCTACGTAGTATTTCAAGTATAGAGATAAATTATGATCCAGAATTCTACCGTAACACTTCACTTAGGAAACCCCAATACAAGCAAAGCCAATAATGCTTTCCTATGTTACCTTTCTTGTCAGCTTGTATCATTTCCGATTCTTTGTCAACCCCATCAGACTTCGGAATACCACTGGCCTTTGAATCCTTATTACTGATAGCCTCAGCAACATGATTCTGATTCCCGCTTTCTCTCAATCCCTCATTTCTCCAATAGCCTCTGCCACCGCCACCAGTCCTCCTTCCCTTGAACCCACCATTATCAAAGCCCCTCCTTTGCTTTCTAGATTCCGCTTGTTGCAAGGCGTACACCACCTCTGCCACCGAGAAGTACTGCTGCATGTACAAAACGGAGTTCCAATTACTCCTCCTCTGCTGTATACACCCAATAACCCCTTCGTACTCCCCTGGCTCTCCGAGCAATCTCAGGTGATGACAAAGTGCATCGATTATAGCATTCGAGGCTGCAAACTCCCCCCTCATCCAAGATATGAAGGCATCCCTCTCGTCAACCTGATGGTGCTGCTGGGGAGGGTACCACTGTTGCGGCGCCCTATGATGCGGGTGGTTGTGATGGTGCATTACCATTCCGGCGCCGGCGCCAACATTATCCGGCAAAGAATTCACAGCTTTTCCAGATTGTGCTGCCATCAAACACTAAACAGGCAATATTTGTTTATACGTTTGTGTCTATCAATATGTATCCGCGTATATAATATATCTATCTACAGATAACAGATCGAAGCGGGAGAAGCTACACCCATCCTTCTCAGATACGGAAAGTAAGTGGCAAGTGAATATGGGCAAATCACACCACTGACGCAAGAGAATATCGGGACCTGTGGAATTGTTCTCTGAATTCGCAATGTAGGAAGATGACTATCTAAAGAGGATTCGCAGTGAATGGAATAAAAATCTGTTGGTGTGGAGGAGTCTGAAGATCTAGGGTTGGGTTGAATGCTTCTGCCGTGGTGAGGAATATAGCTTATAGAACACGCGCGTACCATGGAGTCCCAAACAGTGCCTTCGTCATATCTTCACAAGCCTTCAATGGTAATTTGGTATGTCAATTGTCAATCAGCCACCGGGAAAAAAACACAAAAAACGCACGATTGTTTTGTTTTGTTTTTAGTGAAATTGCACTTTTAAATTTTCAATCCTTTAGACCATTTGTAGGGTCAAGAATCTAAAATGCTACTACTTCCAAAGATCGGCATCGTTATAATAAAGTAAAAACGGTGTGGTTGAGCTTTGTGCAGAGGAGAGATAAATAACAGAAAACATAAAATAATTGATTAAAATGGAAAATGGTAAAGTTTTTTGGGACGTCCTAAAAAGGAAATATGACAAAGTTTTAAGGGACAGATGGAGTATATATGAATTCCGTTAATAAGAAAATACGGTTTAAACTCCTATTTTCTTGTACTTAACATCGTCAATAAAGTACACTCCACATATTTTTTTACATATCAATTTAGTAAAACATTAATTAAGTTATTATAAGTAATGTTTTCTATTTAATTTTTTCCCTAAATAATTATGAAATAAAAAAGACACATTTTGATGTAAAAAATCATTTAAAAAAAATGTTACTTTTATTTTTTACTTTTTTCAAATCTAATAAAAAATGATTTCATGTAATACTTAGTTATTTATTGAGGCTTCATGGATTAAAAATTTGTGTTGAGTATATTCTTGGGGTCAAGAAAACTCCAACAGTTAAAATTTCAAAAAAAAATGCACTCTATATATGTAATATTGGTGTCATTTGAAAGATCATAAAAAGTTATGCATTTTAATATTTTTTTTGAAAAAGTTGAAGTAAAAAAAAAGTTAGAGCAACTTTAAAAATATTAAGGAATTATGACAAAAGCATGATGTAATCCTTTTGTAGAGCAATCTGCAGCCAACTCCTTTCTTTTCTTTTTTTTTTCTTTTTTTCCTTTGCCCACTCCTATCAACCCACCCTCTAAAAATACAGTCCTCCATCCCCTTTCCCACTCTTCACCCCTCTTTTAATATACCACTACACTAAATTTGAAGTCCACTACACTTAGAATTAGGGGTGTAAAGGAGCCGGTCCGAGCCCGGGCATACATAGGCTCGAACTCGAGCTCGAAAATATTCTATATGCTCGAGTTCGGCTCGAGCTCGATCGAGCTTAAAATATTAAAACTTGAGTTCGACTCGTAAGTTTTGGTTGAACTCGCGAGCCGCTCGAGATTGATCTAAAAACTTAGCCATTAATCACAAACTTTGATAATGTGGCGCTCGCTTAGTGCTCAATGGATAATGGATATGATGTGCTTTATAGCTGGTTGGTACAAGAAGCTACTTCTCAGTATCCGGTGTGGGAAGTATAGTAATTAGAAACTAAAACAAATGGAGTGTTGAAATCCAACGGAGTACACAATATTCTATCAATAAATGGATTTGAAATCGGGCTGCTAGTGAACAGTGAAATAACGAAAAGGCTACTACTTATTATAGATTATAATTATTATACAAAGATTATAATAAATTTTGTCATATTTAATTATTTATATAATAATATGCATAGTAATAAGTATTAAAAATCGAGTAATCCTTAATCAGAATAACTATTCAAAAAATATTATATATATAATTATTATACATAATATCTCTACAATTATATAAGCATGAATATTGTTAGGGGTATAATGGTACTGAGAAAAAAGTTCGTGTCTTTTTCTGCATTGGCCAATCGTACCGGATGCATATTAGGTTATACAAATTGAAGGAGTTGTCGGTTGTCACATTGCAAAGGGTCACGGTATCAAACTTGCCGTTAGGCTTAAAGCGAGGCTATTTGATTCTCGGGCATGTCTTATACGAAGTACTCCGTATTTCACCTGCGCGTCCTTCCCTTTTCTGCTTTTCCGTTCAAGAAAGGCCAGCAAGCAGCCGCATCCATGATTTTGAAACTCTTATTTGGATGTTCTGGAGTCCTCTATTATTCATCTATAAATATCTGGCACCTGCTATGTAGCATTTTTTTAAAATTCTTGACATTGTCTTGTAATCTCTTTCTTCTCTTCTAATGAATTATATATTTCCTTAACATTTAAATCCAATTTAATTCTAAATTAGCATAGTTTCTTGACCTTGATCTTGCTTCTTTGCTTCTGTATTGTTTGTTTGATTTAATTGCCCTGTGTTTATATTCTTGTACAATCGTGTCTTGGTATCCCTTCATCTGTATTTCTTCACATCCTTGTGTTTATATTCCTTGCTTATTTGTTTGTATCCTTTTTTTTATTTTGATTGCTATGTGTTTGCTGAAATGTCCATGTGGAGTGTTATAGGTAAATATCTCTCATTAACTTATAGTTGGAGGCTGTTTTTTTATCTCATTTTCACCTCCTTTTGGTTTGCTACCACGTTAAATTCAGAGTTTAGGAAATGGTGAGGAATCCCATTTCAGACTTGAGATGGCTACCATTATACTTTTCGGCAAGAAAAAATGCATGTTTGTATTTAGTAATAAGGTTGCATATAGCTTACCCAATTTACACCATTTTAATTTAACCTTAATTGAGCAAATGTGATGGTACTTAAGTTTTAACTTCGAGCTATACATCTTGTGTTCATTAGTTCAGGAGAAATCATGATTTTGGTGCTGATACATTTGATTCCAATAATTTTGCCATGTTTTTTTCCAAGTGGATAGGTTTTAGCATGGAATCAATAATCCCTGCTCTCTTTCAAAATAACCAACAAACAATGGCTTCCTTTTCTTAAGAAAAGAAAGACTAACATATGCATTATTTAAAATAATAAAAAACCTTAAGAAAAAGGAGTCTCTCTTATAGGCCTAAAGCATAACTACTTAAGAAACTCTGTTAGTTTGAAGTGCTCGTGTTTTACTTTTAGTTTTAATTTTTTTAGAATGATTGCTTTTGAAGAAAACACAATTAGCTATTTTTCAATGGGACAAAACATTGCTTTGCTCAGCACGTGTAAACCATTGTTTTGCTTTGAGTTAAGTTTAAAATTCCATTCCATATAGCATTATACCCTAATTATTACGGTTAACCCTTTTTCATTTTCACAGTCATCAGTCATCACTTAAGATGAAAGGTTTTTAACTTTTTTATCATTTTCAAACTTGCTGCTTTAAATGGTTTTAGTTTCTGTTCCATTACATTCTATTATTACGAAATGGAATTCTAATATCAATTTAATGACTTTGAACTAACATATGTTCTCCATACTTTATTTCTTTTTAAATTTCATCAATACTTTCCTCCATATTTTGTTGTCAAACTTTATTTCATCAATATTTTCCTGCATATTTTATTGTCATATGTCCGTCATAATTTATACGGAGTATCTTTTAATGCTTTCACTTTCTGAGTTAAAGTTTAAATTAGTTGTCTTTTAATGTGCTTAGATTATCAGACAAAATCATACTCACATCCCCAAACTCAGATTAAGGTTTAAGTTTGTTGTCTTTACTGATTAACATCATTGCAATGGAGTCAAAGACTCACTATTTTTGGCTTAAAAATATGATGGAATAAAGCAAAATGGCTCACTAAACTGTCTGCACTTCTTTGTTATGAACCTGCAGCCACTCCATGCAATTTTGGACGTGATTTTCACTCTGGGTCATCCGGAAACAGTTTATTTGTGCTTTAGTACATGGGGTAAGACTGCGTACATCCGACCTCCTTACCCCACCTGTAACACCCCTAAATTTCCCGCCCAAAACATTGATATATTTAAAAGAAATACTTTATTCATTTATCAAAGAGTTGAAGAAATACAGCGGAAGTCTAAAAGGGAAATGAGTGTTACCGCCACATTCGGTCATCTCTTAACCGAATGCACAGGCAACTCAAAGTAAAACAATAAAAACTAATGTAATAATAAGTAAATGTTTGTTTTATGACTAGATTTAACTAAGGCATCTTCTAATTCGCACTCAAGCTCGAGCAATCCGTCAATCCACATAGGTATCCAACTCATCACCTGATAAAATTTAAGGGAGAAGAGAGAGACAAGAAAAATAACAAAAATTAGCTTTAGAGCTAAGTAAGTACTACCCAACCCCGTAAAATAATCAGGTTTGACTAAAAATAGATTTTTATATAATATCATATAAAAATGACGCACTCCACCAAATACTTTTCTCTTTGATTTTTCTTAAAATTACTTCTTTACTAAAAACCTCAACTTCTCTTTGAAAATCTCTTCGTAATTCTTCTCTTTAAACTTCTTAAGAAAATCACTTCTTCTCTAACTTCCTAGTAATTTAGAAGGGCGGTGCTTAACCTTTCGGTAGAGCCCGGTGGACCGTGGTTACGGACGGCCACCCCGAACAAGTGCCGGTACCACAACTGCTCTGTTGGAAACGAAACGACTACCTTAAGTGTGCACACCCCCAAAAAGGGATTCCAAGCCCTCCGAGTAGTAAGTCATCCCGAGTGGTCGGAACCCAACCACTCCAATTCTAAAATTCTTGAATGATTAGGGACTACTACTATAACTTCTTCTTAATAGGGATCATAGATCCAAATCTCACTTAAAAGGGATCATAGATCCAAATCTTACTTAAAGGGGATCATAGATCCAAACTGTACTTCTTAGTAGTAGTAGCTCTAATCACCCTCCACATTTATCCGGATGTGGAAAAACCGACACCTCGGATTACTCCCGAGATGCTATCTTCTTATGAAAATGTAAATTTTATCTTCGCTTAATAATACTTCAAAAATACTTCTTAATTTCTCTAAAAAATCTCGAAGGTGTTTAAAAATATTTAATACTCCAAAAGTACTTGGTTTATACTTCTTAACTACTATATATAATATCTCCTCAAAATCACATACACAAAATTCACAATTCACACTTAATCACATAATGCATATAATAAGCATATAATACGAGGAAATAATTTTGGATTGGCAGAGAAACTTACAATTTAAGGTTTATCCAAAACTAGTTCCAAAATAGTATTTAATACCATATTCAAAATAATCCAATAAGGATATTTATAACTCCAGAATATATATGTAAATTTTCATACCAAATTATACATTTAAAAATATATAATTTATCCCAAAAGATTTGATCTCACAACACTTTCCAAAAAGAGGGTTTAACCCAAACAACCACTTCCCAAAAGTAGCATTTACTACTACCACCAAAATAATCAAATTGGAGTATTCTGAACCCATAATATATTTTCAATATAACCAGTTATAATAGTCTCAAATCATTCTTCAACTCATACCAAAACAATTACCAAAATTTTCCAATCCCAAAAGAACAATCATCAAAAATCACAATTTTAGCCATGATAAACTGATTTGATAAATTCACCAAAAATAACACGTTCATAAATTCCCAGAAAAGAATACATCATCATACTCATACTATTATAGCCGAAGTATCCATAAAATTTCAGAAAGAAACTCAAATCATAGCACAAACCCTAATTTATACAATATAGGGGCAAAATAGTAATTTTGGTTGCAATAGTCCTTACCTCGAGGCTAGAAACGAATCCTAAACGTCAAACCTAGTTTGATGGATCATTCGCACGTACCTAGGAAGTGATAGGTTCGAAGGATCTCAATTTAGGAGAAAGAAATTTAGGAAACGGATGAACGACGCGAATTAGGCAACAAACGCACTTACCGGGATATTGGATTGTTTGATCTCATCATTGGCATAAAATTTCGTGCTGGATACGTTAATATTTAAGAGCTGGAAGGGATAGAGCTTGAAGAGGCGGTCCTAGGGTTTTTGGAATGAGGAAAATCGGATTAGGGATGTATTTATAGTGAATTTCCGAAGTTTGAGTTGCATTAGGATACAACAGGAACGCACGCGTGCGTACCTTCCACGCACGCCGTGCGTGACCCCCAGATGCTCCAAACCTTAGTTTTTTTGCCCCCTTTCTTTCCCATTTGGACCTCCACTTTGTCCCAAACACTAAATCAAACATAATAAACGACCTAAAGACCGTGTAAACAATATGAAACACAATTTTAATTATTTCCCAAATTCTCTCAAATTTTCGGGGTATTACACCACCGTAGGTCGGAGCCTTTGCAGCACTAGGGTAATGATGATGATGACGACGACGACTGATTAAGATACTTTATTAATACATAACAAACTACACATTCAAATATTGTATCATAACTCATATTAACTCAAACTAATTCGAGAAATTAATATCCCTACAATAGCCTTGGGCATTGCTACGAACGCGCAACGCGCGCTAATGAACTAGTATCTATATACACACATCAAGGCTCACGAACTGGCTCGCGAGCCACGAGCCTAAAATAAAGAGGCTTGAATCGAGCTTGTTTAGTATACGAGTCGAACCGAACTCGAGCCGAACTTGAATATGACCGAACTCGAGTCGAGCTTTTCTCGAACGATCCAGGAGCGGCTCGCGAACGGCTTGGCTCGTTTGCACCCCTACTTAGAATGCTGATTTTCGAGTGATGATTCGAAATTAAGAAACTCGGGTCGGCTTCAAAGTAAGGAACTCGGGTATCCTGTTGAGAAATTCGGGCTAGCAGATTTCAGGCCTCCTTCGAAATTAAGAACTCGAATGATGATTTTGGATGATGCTTCGAAGTTAAGAACCCGGGTCAGTTGATGAGAGATCTTGGTCTTCCTATAGATTTGCTGATTTCGGGTTAAATCCAAAATTTAAAATTTCGGTTGAACGGAAAAAAGTAAGTATAATAAGTGAATGACATAAATCAAGATTTCGGTAGTGTCAAATATGAGACTTGATTTCGAACAAATAGTATTTCTTCCATGATCTTCTTCCTTTATTGCAGTAGCGTTTCCAAAAATAGTAACTTTTCGAGAAAACTCCAAAACTAATTCAACAAAAACTTGTGATTTTGATCAAATTAATTCCAAAAAATTCTCAGATAAGAATGAACAGAATTACGCCGAGGCTCTGATATCAATTGTTTGAATCCCATATCAACCGTTGAATACAATCTAAATAATAATATGAAGAAATTGAGTAGAATAAGAAGAAGAATCCATCAGCAATCAATATTGTGTATTCATAATGATATAGCAAAAATGGATAATACATGT